ATAGTTGCTCCTAAGGATGTAGGTAATACATTTTAAGACAGCTTGTCCTAGGAAAATCACTTAGGGAGATTCCTAGCGAATAGTATTAGTTGTAATGAGTAGTATTTCAAAAGTAGTTATGATTTATGCAAAGCAATTGGGATTGTGAGGAGAATTTCAAGAGCATTTCAACAAAATTTTGTAGAGAATTGCAAGCGAATTAAGGATAGCTGCTCCACACTCTGTTCAGTTATATTTTACCAAAATCTTAACAGCTGAACGATCTGTAAAACTTTGGCCTTCATTTTAAAGCAAATTTGGTTATAACACAATTTCAAACATTTCTACATTATTCAAATGGTCAAATCTTGTAATTATGCTTCAAGACAATTAAATTAAACAGCCTATATTTCACCGTTCAGCTGGAGATTTCGTTAAAATTTACCGAAGAAAGCGATAATTTCTAAGTAGGGGAAATGTATTTAATGTCGGCCTAAGTGTCCCTAATTTGGGCCCATGCATAAATTCAGCAATCAACTACATTTTTCAATAGCAACCAAAAATATCCATTAGTACCGTCCCAATGACGCGTTCATCTAGATACAATTGATAAATAGCAGATTTTTAGCGATGGGCCCAATCTTAGATCCATAGGCCAACATTAGAGCCATTTCCCCTATGTAGTTAGTTTACATAGGATAGTTCCTAGGGAAATTACTGGATTTTTTCCCTTGATTTGTATCCGTCGTTCCTGTTTTTCGTACTCGAATGCTACCAACGCCAGGAAGGCAGCTCCTCACCTGGACCCTACATATCGACCCATCAACTCATGGACCAGGACCTACGGCTTTACTTCCCGTCCGAAGGAAGGCGTGATCAGAGATTTTATGCCTCAGAAAATCCCGGCGGCGCCGACTGGGATTGATCCCAGGCCTTTTGGGGTGAGAGGCAATCACGCTTGCCACTACACACCCGCCTGATAAAGGCTGCAATGTTACTTGGGGATGAAGTAATATTTGAGATATTATTGAAAAACTTTGACAAGATTAACCAGTATGTTTATAGATATCATGCTACTCTTAAAAACATATTATTTTTTTAATAAGAGGATTAGGGAAAGTAGTGAACACTGAATATGCAGGAACAGTGAGTCAACGTGAATATCTTGATCATAAAAATGTTCAAAATTATTGATATTTTCCTAGAAAGTGAAGTTTATCAAGCTACATCACGAGATGTAATTTAAGAAAAATATGTTAACTCGATATTGTATAATTTAGCAAACATCGTTTTAGGTGGGGTGAGACTAAATTATGTTGCAATCAATTTCAAGTCAATTTCAACAAAAATCTAAATTAAATTTACGTATAACTATCGCATAGTAATAATATTTGATAATTATAAGTGATGAAAATGGAATTGTTTGTTTAACACCACTATTTAACTTTTTTCAGAAAACACAGTGGAGAACAGTGAGAAATGCCAGTCGTACATGATTTTTTGTAAGAAGGGTAAAAAGTATTGTTTATATAAAGATCGTCAATCAATTTCGTCTCGAAAAAAGGGCCATTTTCAAGCCCCCTCTCTCCCTTAAAACCGTGACGTAATTTATTATTGTTTCCATACTCGATAATCCACACGATTTCTCAAATTTCATCGAGCAATACTTTTATGCTTTGAAACACATTATAACATGTGTCTCTTCTTTCAAGACCTAGCTTGGAACAAAGAGACAAACATTTACTGTAGAAAGACATCCATCTTCCCAACCCGAGCAGGAGAAAATAACTTATTAATACCAAATAAAGGCATGAAAATAACATAACTGGCAACCTAAATATGGTATTGACGAGCCTGACATAAGTGGTAAAATACCAAAAATAATACGTCAAAAATTTTCTACGAATAACGAAGCAATAAATCATTCAGTTATTGTATTAACTGATGGATAATCGAAGTTTTTGTTAAACCATAATACCAGAATTTGTTCTTTAAAATGTTGCTTGGGAACTGCCCCCGATCCCACTTTTTGACTACCCAACATTTTGCTTGTGTCAAACCAATCCCGAGAGAGAGCTGATTTCTTACATCCGGATTCTAACTGAAGCATTAGGGGAACCTTCGAAGGTACCTTCGAATTCAATTCATTTTGGCTAAACAAATGTTTTATGAAATTACGAAAAAAAAACAGATATTATGATATTATGTAAGCAACAAGAAAAGATTGTGAAGTTTGTGTTTGACACCTAATACCTATCAATATTGCTACATAAGAGTCGCAATAAGCGATTTTGTCATTTATCTCACCCAGGCATGGAAAATCATTTACATTCATTTCATGCAATCATTTACATTCATTTGCCTCTAAATTTTTTCATCAACAGCAATCCGCAAAATGATGTATGGAGCTTCAGTAGGTTTTGTTATTAGCTACAACTTTTGCCCATAACTCAAATGTGTATCTCTTATGCATCACGAATTATAGCGGGCAGAACTTGTTACTGTTTTTCAGTGAATTTAAAATACATTCACTGAAAAACAGTAGTGGTTTCTGTTCGCTTTGGTTCGTCATACATAAGAGATACGGATTTAAGTTGTTGACAAAAGTTGTAGTTAATAATAAAACCTACAAAAGCTTCATACATCTTTTTGCGGAATTCTGTTGATGAAAAAAGTTAGGGGCAAATGAATGTAAATGAATGCACGAAATGAATGCAAATGATTTTCCATGCCTGATCTCACCCACTCTTCGCTCTTCACTCTTCGGTTTATGTGTGAAACGAGTGTACCCCATTAGGCATAAATACGTTAGGCATACGGACGTTAGGTATACGGACGTTAGGCATAATGGACGTTAGGCATAAAGTCGTTAGGCATAATGGGCGTTAGGCATAATATACGTTAGGCATAATGGACGTTAGGCATAAAATACCTTGCTGTTGTGCAACTCTAGAAACCTGTTTCGAGCATGATAAACAATGCTTAAATTAGGCTACGCGTTGAATAAAAATGATACAAGGTTAAACAAACATAGTTTATTAAATAAGCACAGTTTGGAATCCATTATTTATCATATCATAATAACAGAGCTACATATTTACTTAGATCCAAGATTAGTAGCGATAGCGGTTAAGTAATCTGGCAATGAAAAATCAGCATAGTTTTGAACTATATCTTGATATCAATCGCATCTAGAAATAAAAAAAATCACACATTTGTTGTAATATATTCTTACACATATTGCAATTGTCAAAGAAGAGAAAGTTTTCCTCAAAGAACAGCTCATGAAATAAAGAATGGTGAATTCTGTGATTTTTCATTCAATAACAAAAAAAACAGCTAAGGTTGAATAAAATATGATGCCAAAGAACAGTTCATGAAATGAAGAATGGTGAATTCTGTGGTTTTTCATTCAATAACAAAAAAAAAACATACCCGCTGCTTCCAGGATTTCCTGCCATACTTTTCGATACAACGATTTTGTTTTTGTTGTCAACAGAATGAAAACTAGCGGAACCGTCTGCTGATGTGAGGGAGCGATACTTCCATGAACAGTAACGAGTTGCCGAAACAAACAAGGAACTGTGGCTAACGTACCATCTGTAACCCACTCCTTTGCCTGTCCAAGACGTGTCACCGAAGTCAGCAATCAATAGACGGTCCCCATTATCATCCTTCTGGAATTCATTGGGTAGATTATGCCTAACGTCCATTATGCCTAACGTCTTTTATGCCCAACGTCCATTATGCCTATCGTACATTATGCCTAACGTCCGTATGCCTAACGTACGTATGCCTAACGTCCGTATGTCTAACGTCCGTATGCCTAACGTTGTGTACCCGTGTGAAACACAAACTTTACAATCTTGTCTTGTTATTTACACATACAAAATAGCATCATAATATCTTATGATTCCATAATTTCATAAAAAAGTGAAGTTTGTGTTTGACACATAATACCTTCAAGCATACTTTCGATAATATGCTTCAAGCATACTTTGGATTCATATTTCATGTGACTACAAGCAAAGTCATATTTTTATGAATGTATATAATAATCAAAACAATCGTCAACTTACAAAAATCTACTTTAATGATTGTTGATTTGAAATCCAAGAAAATTCGTGATATGGAATGACAATAAATTTACTGTACGATCAAAAGGATCATTTAAAAGTGAAAGATTATCGCCTTCTATTTGGTGAGCCTATTTTGAAATCTTCTGCGCAAACGTTATAAACCAATGAATTTGAAAAAAAGGGCCACATATTTGCACATCTCCCTTAGCTTAGCTTAGCAAGACCATGCTGTAGGTGGCTGGGTTCAATTCCCGGTCTGGTCAAGGAATTTTTGGGGATGGGATATTTCTCGACTCTCCTGGGCATAGAGTATGATTGTACCTTCCACACAATTACACTAAAGCAAAAATGGTACACACAATGAGAATTTTGGCCGAAATGGGCACCACCGAGCAGCTCGGCATTTTATTTTGCTGGATCTCAGTGAAAAACTTGCCAAGATTCAGCTTACAAACGGGAATTTTGCCCAGCTCTCAGCTAACAAACATAAATTTTGCTGAATCTCGGCAAGTTTTTCACTGAGATCCAGCAAAATAAAATGCCGAGCTGCTCGGTGGTGTCCATCTAAGCAAAAAATCTAAGTGTGCAGGCATCGAAAGCTCTCAATAAATAACAGTGGAAGTGCATCCAGAACACTAAGTTGAGAGCACGCAATAAGCTAATATGCGATAAGCAATAAGCTTGAAATGCGAACAAGAAGAAGAAGAAATTTTCATACCAATTTGGCATCAGCAATCTTTTTATACCTTTTAATTCAGCTCCTTCTCCGTACAGGAATAATCCCACCAAATAATTCAATTTCAGTCAAAACAAATCAGTTCTACAAAAGGTCAAATCCGTTTTCTGCGAACGCTTAAGCTTATGGCCCAAAAACCCTAGCATTATGCAGGGTGAACATTACAAAACATCATAATAGAAAACCGAGCCAAATTGTCCTCTTACCTGCCATGGCGACAAATGCCACGTGAACGACGGTCCTGATATCAACACACTCGCTAATCCTCATGGCTGGCTGTGCTGTTTTTTTTTTGCGGTTCCTGCGATGGGTGGGTGGTTGTTCCTCAGTCACTCAACCGCAATTCTAAAGGGAAATGTCTGAGCTTTTTCACTCTCTCCCTCTTTCTCTCTCTCCCTCTGGCCCACTGGATTCAAATCGTTTTCACTGCTCGGTGTGCAAGTGCCCGTACAGCCATCCACTGAGCCACGGTATGATGTTATTTTATTAGCACAATTTGTCTTGTCCTCGTTCTTCACTGCTGCTCTTTTTTTATTTATAGTACATCAAATCAGTTTAATCCGGTCGTGGCTGTTTTGGTTTTACAAAGTTGTAACTACAGTTTCACTTAGACTGTACTTTGCTTCTTCGCTTTGAGGATTATATCTTTTGTGGTTTTCTAAATACTTGACAGATGAACCGACGCGAAATGCTCTTCAGGGTGACTTCGTTTCTGCGAATGAAGTCGACTGATTTATCTGAAAAATAGGCAAAGGGAAACGAAATTATCAAATATCATCCATTTTATGACAGAGAAAACTTAGATCAAAACTGAAACTTATTTAATGACATCCTGGGAGCGACTCCGACCGAGCTTCTTCTTTTATAATGTCAGTAGTTCTGTTCAGCTTCAAGATCGCGCGTCTCCCCTGACGGTGGTCCCCATATTTCTTCGTTACCATTTCCGATGTCTGCTAAATGTCCGAAAGAACAACTTTTCTTATAAATTTCTTGCCAGTTGGTATAAATCAAAACTCTGCCATAACTTGTGTATGTAGCGTGGTTTCCTTTTGCCATCATTTCAATTCGCTTTCGTCCGACTACGAGGCGATCGAAAGGAAAAGTCTGAAGTACTGTTCAATTTTTCGTTTCATTCGTACAATCGGATCCTAAGCCGGTATGGCGCGGAAGTAAAAAAAAAAATTAGGTTTGTTCGATTTCTAGTTTTGGAATTTGAGTTGCTGCTCGAATTTCCATTTACTCGAGATGAACTTTTGAATAAAGGAAGTGGGAAGAACAAAAAACCATTTCATCATTCCTGAGGTTATTGCTGGTGTTTTGTTTTAAGAGGGGAAAACGTGGTTCTTTTTCATCGTGATAACTATGCGTTTCTATCGTATAATGGGAACGTTCTGGTATCGACCAGCGTACTTAGACGAATGATTGTTCCGCACTTGAACCATGGTAAAGTGAAAGCCATTAAAACACTCATGTATCATGAATAGCGATAGAAAATGGCGTTGGGTTATGGATTAATTGTTGAAGCATATTATTCAAAAGTTTGAAAATGGATGTTGTTTCAAACATGAATTGTTTATGCTTTTATATATGTTTTAAACAACAGAAATTTTTCGCATCAATCATAGAGGAATTTTCAAGCTCAAAGGGAAAGGATAGCAAGGATTGGCGAGTGTCTACTGTTTATAGGCTCAGAAATTGCTACAAAATCCATATGATGTCGAGGTGCGCTTAATCTGTGTATTTGTTATGAGTTTGATGGATTTGATGGATTCAATTAATAATCCATTTTATTTTGATTTGAAATCGTGACTTTGGTGGATGATGACGACTACGTCAAATTTTAATCCAATTTCGAGTTAGAAAAGCTTAGATTCTCCACCGAATTGAAAAAGAAACCTGATTGCTATTCCTTTACGCGTACACATATTAATCATCCTTCCTCATGGCCAAACGTATCCTATTTCAATATTATTCTTGAGCCTGATTATCACTAGTTTGCACTTTTTCTTTTTAATGAGAGTAATTATCTCTTTCTCAATCGTTAAGACCTTGGAACAAGGAAAGGAATCGGTTTAATGATAACATAAAACGCTACAGCTACAACAATCTTTATAAAATTAGCATGGGGAAAAGAAATAATAACTTCTGCTTTCAAACGATTCTCCTCACTGTAATCGTACACCTTACGTTCACTTTTTAAGCAATCTCATCGGAAAGTGCAACTTTCGGTTCCCTTTTTCGCTGCATCCCGGAGAACAATGACTTAGTGCAGTGGAAGAAGGAACTAACCACCACCCTCCCAACCCCACTTCCATCAGCCTGTAGCTAGTTTTGTACAAAGCAGTCATCTTTCGCAAATTAATTTCCCAGAAACGTAGAATAAAAGAAGCCATATCGCCGGTACTACCGACTTTTCATAACTCATTTGCTAATTTGACTCGATTTTCCTCCCGGTTATTTCATTTCGCACACTTCGACAGACCGTGTCACGGGCCCGTACAACTGCTGTGTGATGAAAAGTCCAACCAAGCAGGTCCTGGAAGAGGAAAAGTTTTAATTCAATTCCTGCTCGGAGCTTTTGCTCATTAAGTGCATTTTAAGTACCGACAGAACCTGCATTCAACATCAATTGCCTGAAAACGGCGTTTACTAAAGAAATGATTTTATCCACGAATGTTCAAGATGTTCCACTTGTTGACACCCATTACACCGAACTTGCTGGCTAAATGTAGTCATAGTGTATAAACACTTAAATTGCGCCAAGACCGTTAACAAATTGCACACCTCGTCATGCTGCATCTCCTTCTGGTGGGTAAACATCGGTATAAGCAAACGATTTCACAAAATCACAGCTTATACCGACGCTCGTCATTCACGATGTCGTAGCGAATAACAAGCGACGAACTGCCCCATTTCACGTGACATAAAATGCCAAGGACCTGCCTTGGCCACGGTGAAAAGATGATTCATGCATGGCACACTGGTACATTGTGCATGGAGCTGATGGTGGTGGGAAGGGTAAAAATCTGGCTTCAAGAAGTCTTCTCCCTGGGAGAAAATGGGGCGGAACGGCAGTCTGAGCATCAAATATGTTTTCTGAATTAAATAATAATTACTGATAATTATTTAGAACAGTACAACCGATCATTAAATAATGCCAAACTTTAATCCTTACATTTATTTAGCTAAAAAGTGCCAAATTAGCCTAATCTACCTGTTCGTCTGATCTTGCATAACAGCATTATAACCAATCAAGTTTAGTAGCAGGACGAATGGGATTCGAACACTGGTCCTTGATAAAGTAGCCCAACAAACATTGAAGCTGAATAAGAACTTATTCAAGCAAAAATGCTTCAGCTAAACATAGGCTTATTCAGCTGTTAATCAGATCAAATTGTTTGTTGGGAGGTTTGTAGCTTCTATACTAGATCAACTGCAATTGATGAAAAGCCCCATCTCAGTACTTATCAAATTCTTATCAATAATGGCACACGCAATTTCATTTCCTATCATCCTCCGCCACGAATGATATAAGTTGACCTTGCAGATGTAATGGTTTTTTGTCTTTTTTTATTTCGTGTTCTGTCTACGCTTTCGACTATACCAGAACACATTTTATTTATAACATTGTAGAACGACGCACACACTTGCCATGATTCTCTCCAATTTCCGTTCAGCAGAAAAGGCATACTAAATGGAGTATTAGAGGAAATGAGCGCTTCTTATTTGCTTTTAGCCGATCCATATTCCGAAGCATTGAGAGAGCAGTGGAGAAAGCACAGGTCTGATATTCATACAACGTTCGTGGTTCGAGTCCAGTCGGCAACCTTTTTTTCTATTTTTTTCTACATAATTAATATCAGTCACTTATACACTCCACATTTTTCGGTCTACATATTCTTGGTATATCTCATCCTACGTTGATGCGATCTTCACTAACATCCTGCGATGATGAATCCTTTATAATTGTAAGCAAATCCTACATCCCCCGGTTGGGTGAAGGAAATTTTTTATTGTGGAGCAGCACGCTTACATTTGCGTTAGAGGCGTTTTAGAAAGAATCAAAATCGTTAGATTAACTAACAGAATGTCATTAAACAGTTTTTTCAAACCCTTTATGACTGATGGATTTTTTTCCTTATTTAACGTCGGTCTTAGCGCCAATTACCGACGGACATCGATTGCCATCCATTGACGGCAATCGAATGTGCAGGAAGGCAGCTTCCACACCAGCGTAGAATATCGCACCAACGGCTTACTTCCCTTCCGAAGGAAGACGTCAACAGAGATTTTTATCCTCAGAAAAATCTCACCGACCTCGGCTGGGATTGAACCCAGACCCATTGGAGTGAGAAAGCAGTCACGCTTACCACTACACCATCGGCGCCGGCTGATCTTTGCATAAGGCTGCTCAAACCTGTGTGTGCCCACTAGTTTCAATCACGTTCTGGGATATGCAAAAAGTATCTTAAGCTTTATATGAAAACAATTAAGACAAATTCTGCTGGTGGTAGTTAGGCAAGGTAATATAAAGTCAGAATCTTATTTATATAACTTTTAGTGCATAAACAATAAAATAATGTTATGCTGGCTTTGAAAGTGTGAGTATTATGAAGATTATTAAAAGTAGGATGCTGTGTACATCACTTTAAATACATTTATTTAACATGTTATTCTTATTCAAATTCAAAAACATGATTTTATCTTGTCATTTGAATGTACAGCGTAAAAATCGTGCCATTATGAAAATTCCCAAATTCGACGGAATAAACTTGGCAAATAGAAACTGAAAGTTGAGCTCATGACGAATCCAAATTTAAAACGGTGGCAGCAGAATAGCGAATACGCATTTAAAACCACGAAATATAAGTGTATGACTTGGGCTTTTTGAGTAGATGTCAAAAATTGACGTCCACCGCCATTTTGAAATTCAAGATGGCAGTCCCAAATGCAAGACGGTTGAGTAGCTGCACAAGTTCTATAACAGTTTATATTATCTTTGCATGACTGGTTTGGTTGTATAGAAGTTTACTCATCATAATTCCATGAAAATTTGCTTGGGTAATTTGCATCTAAAACCATCATTATTCATTGTTCATGACCATTTAATGTTCATTTTCACCTATCACTTTTTTTCAGTGAATTAGTCGATGAACTATGCAAATGCTAGCTGGCGACAAGATAGATGGTGCCACAGAAGGAAGAAGTGTTGGTTTGTTTACTAAAATGAACTATGACGAATTGTATGTGGCAAGTTTGGCTATAATCAATCCTCCTCGTGTTTATTCGCGAAATCAATATCAAAGATCACTTGCGTAGAAAATCAATTTGGCAAGGCATTTGATACCAGTATACACCTTCCGGTCGTATTAAACTGATCAAAATCTGTCCAAATCCGTCGTATTTTTTTTTTTTTTTTGTGGCACCGTTTACGGCAAAGTACATAGTGAACTTTTCATGATCATTAACGGCAGGGTTGCTTCCAGTCACTTGCTATAAAAAAATATTATTCGGAATTATGCAATCATTAGATGCAATAATGCTATATTGTACTTGTAAGTAACAAGAAGAGGTAGTAAAGTATGTGTCTGACTCATAAAATCTGTCAATTTCGCTTTGAGAGCGTCACAATTAGCGATCTTATGATTCCTGAGCGTTCACTCAGAGTGAGCGCTCACGGGTAGTAAAATCGCTGATTGTGACGCACTGAAAGCAATTTTGACAGATTTTAAGTGTC